ATATAGAATTTTCAGCACAAAGTATCTCAACAAGTTTCCGTTTCTTATTTCTTGATCAATCCTGACGATAAATATTGAGCGATCGCCAGTTAGATGTTAGTAGTCCAGTCAATCGATATCTGAACAATGTACATTCTTTTCTATGTATATTACCAGCAACCAAAATGTCTCTGATTGTTCTCTTTCTTAACTTATACAGCGAAAGGTCGTGAACTTTTCACAAACGCAAATGAATAGGTTATGCAATTAATTGACATAATAATCTGTTGAAACAAACAAAAGACAGATAAATATCTTGGCAGGAACAAGTAGCCCAGATATTCAAGAAAGTCGCCTATATGAGTAACAGCCAATGGTAGATTTACTTAGTTGGTAAGACTTTATGATAAGTAGTTAACATGAAAAATCAACGTAAGGAAAACACCAATTAGAAGTTATCAGAAAAATTTATTTAAACAATAGGTTTGCTCCAAAGAAAACAAGACATTTCTTAATACATATATATTTATATATATATATATATATATATATATATATATATATATATATATATATATATATATATATATATATATATATATATATATATATATATATATATATATATATATATATATATATATATATATATATATCACAACAACCAACACAGAAAAATGAATCAAATTGATAAACGATGTGACAAAATGAATATTACTTTTTTTCTTTTAAATGCAAAAAGCTACTGAAAATAAACAAACTACATAAAATCAACATGAATATACGAATAAAGATATATCACAGTTCATTAATGATTGTTTGAACGTAAACTACTGAAATCCCAAATAATTTAATGGGTAAACAAAAACAAACAACAGCCATAGATAATATGTACAAACAATAATAATAATAATGTAGGGATATTCTTACATGAATATTATAATTCAATAATCAAATTGGAGCTCTGTTTTAATGCCGTCAAGGTTTTAATCTAATAATAGATTTCGTTTGATCTAGTGGATTGTGATCGTTAACCGATAGTGTACATTTTACAGATTTGGAAGAGTTGGAAACTGTAAAGTAATGATTGGAAGGTGAACGTTTTAAATACACCACATCATAGCACACACACACAAACATGCGTATACAATGAATGATTTAGTTAAAAACAAGGAAAAATAGCCGGGGAATTTTAAGTGAAGATCTAAAAAAACAACCTATATGAAATCCGCATGATAAAATCCAATGGTGTGTGTGTGTAAAAAGGAAGCACCTTCATGATTTCCACTGGTTTATTTAAATGCAAACACGAAACGAATTAATCATAGAAATACACTGCTGATTCGGACACACGAATTGTTCACATATAAACAGATATGTTACATCATTATCATTGTTAGTGCATACGTTGGGAGAATAAAAATGTCTTTGTTTCAGTATCTGATCTGTAAGAGAAAAGTGGAAACGAGGAAGCATATAGGACAGATTTATTTCTCAACAAAAATGTGGAATATATTGAATACAAAGATATGGCATTTTTCGACATGATTTCAAATAGAATAAGAAAAACAGTGATTACAATAAGGTAGCGGAGATTTTTCTTCTTCAGATTACGATATATGCTATTATGTAGTCCGATTAATTGTATAGGGGAATCTATACCACAAATCAGTCAATCATTTTAAGCTGGTCTACAAAGAGTTGTTATTTCATTAATTACTAATAATACTATTCAGTTACAAAACAGGCGTTGTTTTATAGTATTCGTGAGGTCAAATGATATATAAGGTACTAGCGACGGAAGGGGGGCACGATAGCAATTGTATTTTTTGTCAATCCGATTACATCGGTATTATTGTAGTGAATCAGTGGGTTATATCATGTTCAGACTGAAACTTTTCAACAAGTGATATGCTATATGCATTTACGGTACTGCTAAATTGCATGATTCAGTCTAACTTTGCAGTTAGTACCCAGAAACAGTATGAAGAGAAGTGAAATATAATTTGCACATTATTGAAAAGACAGTTTACAGAAATATCCTGCTCCATAAATATGAATTTGAAAGTGATAACAAGTGAAAAGGAGCTATCTCTGATTATCATTTATCACATACAGAATCGTTTAATTTCTATTGTTATGTATTTGACAATGGGACTATGGTTTGTTAGTACAGATTTCCGACTTTCAACTAATAGAATATCGACCGGTAATTGTATGTGATGAATCTTTTTAGAGATACGCTCAAACTGTCTTCCTATCCGGTTACTATAACTCCAACTACTTCTACACGTCAACCGGAACAACAGAGAGAAGTCGTGAAATGCGAGTTAAGGCTTTTCTCCAAGGTTAGTTCACGCACAGAAAAAAAGGGGTACTTAGTTATACACGACCTTGGGCATTAGAAAATTCCTGAAACCACACTAAATAAAGTAGCAGTATACGTAAATATTTAACCAAAACCGTGATATGTGATTCTGAATTTTCTAGATGTCTCCGCGAAGATTCAATTTAACGCTGATTGGACAAAACGTTTCTTAGCATTTCTGGGCCTCTAGAGACTTTTTCGAAGGATATTTTGGGATTCTTCCCATAGTACAGTAGTCTTAGCTTTTGTAACATGGATGCCTCTACAATATGTCAACACGAAAAGTTAATGATAGTTATCGGTTCAGAATAGACGGATTTTCGGAGTCATGATGATTATGATGATAGAAAGTGAATTTTAACCTAACTTTTGGGGCGAACATCTTCCCAAACACCTTTATAACGTTTTGCAGTCCATGTACCAAAGACTGCTAAAACCAACAGCCATTAAGGCAGACGATTGACTGGACGTGGTAGATTAAATTTAATTTGTAAGGGTTTGGATTATCTCTTTTTTGATAGTATAAATAAATCACAATTGATTGATCACTGGGTGGTGATTAATGTCATGCTTGTCTAGTCCTTATTAGTGCAGATCGAATGCTATCGATCATGTTGCAATGTGGCCACCAGTCTAGGTGACTCGACACTGCGGGCACTATGTATTGAGATTTAGATGGTGGTTGGAGGTGGTCAACAGGAAACCCTGGACCCAGGTTTCGTGCTACTTGGCACTCGTCAGCAATGTGTACCTGTAATCTTGAGGGAACTGATGCTCCCTAGCGGATTCGATCTCGTGTCACCCAGTTTCACAGTCAGAGACCTTACCACTGAGCTATTCGAGCCGTGACTAACCTCCTGTAGGACTGAGATGTTATCACAATTGATTGATCACTGGGTGGTGATCAATGTCATGCTTGTCTAGTCCTTATTAGTGCAGATCGAATACTATCGATCATGTTAGTCACGGCTCGGATAGCTCAGTGGTAAGGTCTCTGACTGTGAAACTGGGTGACACGAGATCGAATCCGCTAGGGAGCACCAGTTCCCTCAAGATTACAGGTACACATTGCTGACGAGTGCCAAGTAGCACGAAACCCGGGTCCAGGGTTTCCTGTTGACTACCTCCAACTACCATCTAAAAAGTATAATTAAATTCTGATCAGTCTTAATTGGAATATGTGCATTCTGTATGAATTAATATAACCACAATGTCAGAATTTTAGATAGACATAGATAATATGTGTCTAGCAGTGGAAACCAGGACACCTGATTCGTCATATTTGAGACTCGTTAACTGGATGTATTTGCATCCTGGAATTGATATTCAATCTGGAATTCGAACCCAAAGTCTTACCCACATGACTACTGAGATTAGACAACCACTCACTTGTGTAACGAGTAAGAATTTTAATCCGAATAGTATTGGACTGGATTACTCCTTTGTTGATAACACGGTAGAGTCTGTAACGAAAAGTACTTGGTTTGAATACGGTAGTTAACAATGACGCCAAAATGCAGGTATATCCAGCTAACAAGTCTCAAGTAGAACAAAACAAGTGTCCAAGATTCTACTGCTAGCCACTTTCTATGTATACAAATATAGATTAAAGTTTTATTTTTTACATTAAAAACTCACTCATAAATTACATCTTCATCAGAATCATTTATCATTGATAATGATGGATTATCCTTTACATCCATTTCTATAATTAGAAGAAAAAAGTGAATTTATCAACATTTTTGTAAAATTGTACTTAATTTCAAAAATAAACATCTATAAAACGGTTATAGATCTTTACAATTAGACTATTCGTGAATTGTTCAGAACAAATTACTGTATGGCATACATTATCCATTAGTCATACGCACCGTAGAACCTAACAGAAATATGCATCAATTCAAGTTCCCATATCACATGAGCACAATGAAATGAAATTGTTTCTTGACAAATCTCCGAGTATATATATATATATATATATATATTACTTCGTATCATGTCGAGGTTGCGGATAGTCAACCTAGTTAGAAAGAAAGCTAACGGTAAGATATCACTTCCCGACCATATAAATACTACTTCATACTATACAGAAGACAATAGTCTAGAAAGCTCGATTACAGTTTGGAACAATGTTGCAAACCCCCCAAATGCCTTGGTACGGCCGAGAGTAGGCAGAGTCCGCTCTCCCTCTCGAAATGCTCTCACATGGCCACGCGTATACAGCCTCTGCCAGGGAAGTCCTACTCACTGCCTTCTCTTGGCGGGGGTGTTGTTTACGAAAATGAGAGGACGAAAAGCGAATGTCCGGCGCTTTAACCGGATTCCAAACCAATGGTGCACATGGGCTCCAGTATCCTGCGGGAACAAATGGCGTATGAACCAATCGTTGGTCACCGGCTTCCATGGGACTGCATCTCCTTACGATGCTCCACTGCCTTGTGGATCAGACCTTCAGGTCGAAGGCTCGGGGAGTGGCCTTCTAAGAAAACCATCTGCTTCGATTTTGGCACCCGGGCAGTATCACAGCCCTCACACATGTCGAATGAGATTTGTGTGGCGCATATGTATTTGGTGCCTCCTTGTACCAATATCTATGTGTTAAAATAAATAAATACAAACCCGAGTGATCACTTAACAACAATACTTGACCGTTCAAGAATATATTAGTTACACTCCAGTTTGTGCATAACATAATTTTAAACTAGTATAATTTTTTAGTGTGGAGGATGGAACCTTGATGTCCACAGAAAGACAACAAACCGGTAAAGATATATGATGAACTTTCACAAGCTGTCTACACTCTCGAACGCATCACTATCTGAATCTGATAACTAAAATCCACTAGTTATCATCTGTACTTCAAGTACTTCAATAATTTTCCTCGTTTTGCACTTGATATCACGCATACAATTTTCACACATCTGTAATCTCATCAATTGGTATATATATTCATTTTATCATGAGGTTTCATTTGATCTATTAACTTCGATTATCCAATTTAGTCACTTGATATTTGACAGGCCATAGGACATAACAAATAAAACAATAAAATCTTTGTAATTAGACCATCCAGTTAACAGAACAAAAGAAAATACCTTGAAGTCCTATTATACTATAGAGATTGGTTGAAGAGCACGGTAAGAATAAAAATAGCAAATCCATGGTCTGAAGGTGAAGCAGTCCTGCTAGTTGTACTATTTACTACATTATCTTAATCCCCTTGCTGTTCATCTAGTTCACTTTATTTCGTTATGGTAATTGTGATTTGGAAATTTTGGTCAACATTTATTTTTGCTAGGCACTAAGTTGATCATCACTATCTAACTGACTAATACAACACGAAAAACATCAATCAGAACCCCTTCCTTCACAATATATTTTTACAATGCAGCATAATGAAATTACCAATATGTACACATATTTAAAGTCATTAAACCAATCTTACCTATTTGTGTATTATTTGGTGGAGAGTAAACAAATGCCAATAGAATTATGTATGAATTAATAGTGAACTGTATCAATGAGAATTCAAGTGTTGAATGATAACCGAGTATATCATTAAATCGATGTTGTAATCCTATGTAATTTTGAGAATTCTGCTGTTGTACAGTCATTTTACTGGTATTACCCTTAACATTACGGACATAATTCATGGATTGAGATAATAATCTCTCATTAAAGTGTAATAGACATGCAAATCCTAAGACGATAATGAAGATTATTGATTGGAATGTTAGAAAATATAAACGCAAGTCTAAAATGAAAATTAACAATAAAAAATTTATAGGGGACATCATAAATATTTTCCGTATTTAAATAAATTACGTAATACTACGTTACAAAATAAGCCAACATATCGATAAAACTAGTAATGAAGCTAATATTATTTATGGTACATTGTTTGTGTGAGGATTAATGATACTAACTGATTGTTTAAACAGAAGGGGGTGCACGACTATAGCTGCTACTTCAACACATTGGCCGGGTTCACATATTGTGATAACTTAATCGAGCTGTATTGGTTGGGTTACTTGTTACTTAAAGTCCCACTATAACAAGCAAGAAAGCTGAATAACGATTGTGAACATTACTGATGATTACTACATGCATGAATAAAGCAAAGTATAGGTAGACTAGAGTACACAGAACATCTAAATGGTGATGATTAAACGTCAAAAGTAATTTATCTACAAATTATCAGATTCAATCGTATAACAAGTTCTATACATACAAATGTATAAAAATCTAATTTATTTTGTAAGGCTTTGAATAATCCCATTGTTAAAAGTTTTGACTGAATTTTGACCAGTCTTATTTGGCATATGAGCATCCTGTGAGGATCGCCTCCATGTAGCTCTTTTCATAAGTTTTTGTAGAATAGATGAATTATGGCTAGCAAAAGAATTCGGGTCATACATTTCGTTCTATCAAGGACTCGTGAGCTGGATATATCTACGTTCCAGCGTTAATATAGCAAAAGAAAGTTCAGGTAATCTTGTTTTTGTTATTATGCATCATTTATTGCTTTAAAGGATAACCTCGATGACCTTTTTCTAAATTATATCACCGGGATGACTTTTGATGATATATAACTGGTTGTTACCATTTCAAGTATCCTAATTTTGTCATGCGTCTCGAAGACATTAGATTTGAAAATATAAACAGAATTGATTGATCTCACTCTTTGATTTCTGTTCGGAGTATGAAGCTACCTGAAAACCTCGACTTCTCTGTCTCATATTACCGTGTAGATTATTGAAGTTGTATATTAGCCACCATTCCATTGAGTGTTCTATAAAACCTGTTCAAATAAGAATATTCTCGATCTTCCTCTAGTTAGCCATTATAGCAGACCCGTGACGAACCTCAATCTCAATATATGACTGCTGCTCACACTGGGACTCAAACGTAGTACCTTTCACTTAAAATTACCAACGGGTTATCGGCTGAGCTATCGAGTGTAAATAGCCACTGACATGTGCAAAGAGTATGAATATTTATATTTATAAACGTCAATACAAACCATCTGTAGCACTACAAACCCTTATTGATTATTCATATCCATCTTAAAAGTGAGCGGCTATTTGAACTCAGTAGCTTAATAGATAATGCGCTAAGTATTCGAAGTGGAACGTACTGAGATCCAGTCCGGCTGTGAACATTAACACTGACATATGGCAGGTATATTCTGTTGACGAGCTCCATCTAGAATAAAAACCTACATACTGGATTCGACTGATAGCGATATTCCATCTATATACTGTAAAAGCGCACAAAATAATTCAAATAAAACCTGGTAGTAAGATAAATCCATAAAAAAATATCAATCACTTACTAAAATATGGTAATTTTCTTAATTTATGACAGGCTCGAATGAATAGCACAGTGAATAGTACCACATAGATAAAACCAAATAGACTAACAAAAACCACAGTAAACTAAAACAAACAATGAAAGGATAAAAAAAATAAACAACCTTAATGGTTTTTTGAGAGAGAGGGAGAGAGAGAAAAGGAAAAAACTATTTTCCAAATTTGTTTATTCTCACTGCGAAAATAACTATTCATTAAAGATCAGGAGTGAGCAAATCCTTTTCTATGGTAAATTTCCCGCAATAATCAGAACATATGCAAGAAACTAACCAATATGAGAACACCTATTTAACAAGACCATACACTCAGACGACAATCCAATGGTGTATGATTCTAGCTTTATACGACCATTTTTATATGGTGTAGTGCTTAAATGAAGTTATAGACAAAATAATCCATCCGCTTTGCACTCGTTGAACGATTCCAATAAAATTATGGCTTCCTACAACAATGTTGACAAAAATTCAACCCAAAGATAGTCTGATTGTTAACTACACGATCATTGCTTAATCACTCATTTTTCCTGGAGTGATTTTTACAGTTTTAGGATAGTTTACATTACAGTCTGACACCAACTGGAATAGCATTGCTCATTATGAGACGTGAAAATCTTGAACCCAAAACCGATGTGAGGAGATTGTGAGTGTGCACTGTTGAAGAGTCCCAGACTAGGGCGAAACAACCATTCAGTACTTTCTTGTCGTTACTTATTCTCCAGCTGAAGTCAATTTTAAGACGAAAATGTCTATTTATAGAAAGTTTTATCAAAGCTAAATATATCTACACATCATTTTGATATGGATTAAAAAACCCTAAATTTAGTCATTAAAAATACTTCGTTGAATTATATCATCATCTTGAAACACTAGCTTCGGTAGCTTAGATTTATTTTATGAATGTCGTCATGGAGACTTCTACATAGCGCATTATTTGCTGAGGTTGGAACTGGGTGAAAAAAAGCAGGAAAGTGGTTAGTTTATGACACCGTTATGGTATAGAAGAAAGTTATATACAACTGGCATCTATCGGTTCACTATATTACTTTGGTTAAGATCCTGGAGATGATGCACAATTCAGTGGCTTCAGACGTTATAAAAAATGGTAATTCCACTGAAATTTCCTATTACATTTGAAAAACCCAGAGAAATTCTCTCAAATGTACCTCTTGATCAGATTTTTTATATCTAAACTGTATCTTCTATTAAACACTGTTCTTATCCACCTATATTTCCTTATACTTCACTTCCCATCCTCAATTCTCCTTGGTGTTATTTCTTTAGTTGCGCGGTGTACACTATTTTTGGCATTAAGTTGTACCAGATTTTATGTGTATTAAACAGATAAATGAATAAGTCTTAGTGATTACCGTGATAGATATCTTGGTAAAATATATAATCAAAATAAATTATTCAAGCATTAATTTGTACAAAAAAATAACTTACGATAAGAAGATCCGTATATTCTAGAATATCAAACACTGGTTCGTGATGTTCCACATAAACTTTCCAAGTAATTAATAAGAATATGATTAGCCAGAATATGCTAATCAAACAGATTTTCGGTAGATAAAATTTCTGAAACGTCCTTTTAGACTGTATACATATATATGCAAGAAGATACAAATGTTGATTAGTTGAGAGAAGAAATTCAAATAAAAAAGTCAACAAGAATACAGCCTTAATAAAATAAGCAACGTATTTTTTGATGAGATGATGTTTATCAAAGTTGAAGGGGAATTTTTGAGGCGACAGACAATTTGTACTGCCTCACCTTTCATCATGAATTCAATACTTATACGTTTGCTATGTGAATAGATGTAGTCAGCAGGTAATCTTGATCGACTTAGGTTTCGTGCTAGTTGGCACTTGTTAACAAGGTCTATCTGATACTTCCTGTGCGATTCAAATCCTCACAACCGAGCTCTACAGTGTGAGATGTTACTACTGAGATATTCAGCTTGTGACTGAAGTCCTTTATGACTGAAACATTTACAATTGGTTGGTCACTAAGTGATGATTACTATCATGTCTTTCTACTCTTTTAGTCTTGACCGAATTCTATTGATGTCTATATGTCATCAAAGAAGAACGTAAATGTTTTCCACACACATAACCAAATTATCGTAATTTAATCACTAAGCTTTTTATAGTTGACTACTGTATAAATAGGAAATATATGTAGACATAATTCAATATAACTTCATTACTTATGGAATGACCTGGTGTTAAAATTAAAGAAGTTTAATAAACATATCAGCTGCTATTGAATTGATGATTCAAAAATTATAATTTTATATTCAATAGTAGAATACTAATGATGATTATCGTAAAGAAACAAAAATCATTATATAAGATCATTTTAGACAGTCCGATTATTGAGTTAGCCATTCATAATTAACATACAGTCTGGCACATATATACGTTAGCGCAAGTTTCTGTACCACATTAGTACGATGAGACAAATCTACAAAAACGAATAACAAAGGAGTTGGACTAATGTGATGCTAGTGATAATCAAAACGACTCAACATTGAAGTATATGATCCCACAAGACTAAGTGAAGAGGTACATATGAGGAAATACTGGGACTAAAAATAAAGAATAAGGTAAAGGGTAAATGACTCGGTACTATTTTGACCACTGGTTATCAAGAGTGATAGCTTAGTGGTTAAATCACTTGTCAAGGTACGAACACGGCTTCGGTCACTTTGGTTAGAATAACTGAGGAGTGAGGGAGAAGCATCAGTAGTCCTCGCACACAATAAAGTGTGGCTCAAAACGGTATACAGAAGCCTGTAATCGCTAAGTAATTTAGTTATTATTCTCAATTCGATCGATCAGTCAGACAATACACTTTTATGGAGAACTCCGATTAGTCTATACATTAATTACATATATAGAAATATAAAAAATAAACATATATATATTATAGGGATTTCTAAGTAAACATACCACAGCTTAATTGATCATAAGCAATCTATTAATTTAGCTGTATCTCACTTGTATAGTTGAGGTGGATTATAATTACATGTTCAAATCGTAACTATTTGTTCGTAGATTCTCATCCTACTACCTGTAATCTTTTTTCAGTTTAGATAGTTGAGGAATAATAGCACTTTGACTTACATATGATACAAATGTGATTTAAAGCGTAACCAAACACATGAATCTAAATTCGATTGATTTGTTCCAGTCAAATTCTAAAATCTGAAAAATACAATCCGATATTTCGTTTATCTGGTTCTGATTTTTTTTAATGCTAGACAACTGGATAAGCTAATACACAGTATGTTTGGTAAGTATTTAAACTGAGAGCTTCCAAGAATACCAGAGTTACATAAACATAACGAAATAAATAATCAATTACATTGTAATCAAACGCTTAGGCTGATCTCGGTAGCTTGTCTCTATGAAATTACTAGTCAATGAATAGTTGGTGTATGGATGGATATTCATGAGTTTCTGACGCGTAACTCAATGATCACCACAAAATGGATCTTCCTACATAGTCACTAGAATAAAACACAAAATGACTTTTTCTAGTTCCTGAAATGCGAAATTACCATTCATGGGAGGCATGAGGCAACCAGTAGTAACTAAAATCATCGACTACCAAAGACTTTCAAGGATGTTTTAAGTAATCAAGATGGAGATCGTACAAGTGTACTAACACAAATTATGAGTATTTTGAAAAGAAAAAGATCCATTCATTCTAAACTTTATGAAATAAATTTATTATAACTTTAGTTCATGTATTTATTGGACAGAGGATTATTGCACATTGAAAGATTTAACAAAATAAATTCAGTTATGAAAGACAGTAATACAATTAGATTTTTACTTACAATTCGTATACCATGGAATATACATAACCAAACTAATAATAATACAGCGACAAATGTGATTTGAAACAGATAACCAAGACATGATGGAAACCAATTTGTTGTTAAATATTGAAGGGGATATAAAGGATCTACATAATGCATAGAATGAAATTCTTTTTTGAAACTTCTTTAACGAATTAATTATCTGTACATCATGATATAATAGGATTAAACAAATTTTTAAGCATGAAAAACATTTGTCATACAATACAATGCGATGGAATAAACAAACAGACTTCATGTGTGATTTCTAGCGAGAGTGTGATCGGACCGTAATACAGGAAAGAAGTGGTATTGACCTAGTCCAAGTACTGATTAATTCGCCTAGAGTTTCAAGACCAGTACCTATAACCTTCGGTTAATTAATGGCACAAAAATAATGAGATAAGAATAACGATTAACGAAAGCAGTTCCTTCACGCTTGTACACCCAATAGCAAGATAGAACATGCACAACAAGTAGGAATTTCTAATTATTATTTTCAGTTCATGACTCAACTCATACAACAATAAAGAGTAGACTCTTGACCACATATTAATACAATAAAGAAATCACTGTCAGTATAACTACGCCATAGGTGAGAGCTGAGTAGTAGGTGTGTAATCAATTAACAATAACTTAAGAAAGGCACAACATACAATTACAGTTTATGAATTAAAAAAAACGCTTACAAACAGGAGAATAAAAAATACAATAACTTAGATATTTCATTATTGAAGGATAAGAACATAAACAATGACTTCAGTTAGTAGTACAGTATCGAAAGTTCAATGTTGCTCATTACTTACTCAGTTATGACAAGGATGTGAACATTTTTAAATATTATTGGTACAACTAAATTATCATTTTCGATTTATATACTTTTACCAAATATTGGTGGGTATTTTTTATTAAGAATTCTTAACAAGAATAAGAGTGATTAGTGTGAAGTATATGTAATATGACAAAAATTAAAGAACAAATATAAAGTTGCAGCTAGTCCATTACCTATCTCATCATATTTAACCAGTTATTAAATTAATAGGTAACATGTCTGATAGTGATATTACTTCTATTACCATGATATTTGTTCTCATGATTTCATCTCCTTGCATTGATATGGTGTAATAACTTGGATCGATGAACATATATGCTACATTCTATGTTGCTTATGACTGACTAGCACGTTACATAGGCCACACAAAGAGATCATTTCCCAAACGCATCTCAGAACACTATCCAGCTTGGCTCTTAAAAGGAGAATGTAAGACAATCATTAGTTCTATACAGTAGCATTTAATTAACTGTGGACACATCGCTCCAAAGGATTCCTCTTTTAAAGTAATCTACAGAGTCAAAGGAACTGCATCGAAGGGGGGGTCGAATCAATATTATATGTACTGCTGAGGCATTGGCAATCCACGAACTCAAGTCTGAACTTTGCGTACAGAAACGATTCGTCCAACCTCTCATCTTTTCTTGGCTCTAATCCCCTTAATGGGTTTGTTCCTGGTTTTTCTTCTTTTTTTCTCTGAACTTTTATTTGATTGTTATTGAATTTTTAAATTGTTTTGCAATTTTAATCTCTAGTCTGTTATTATTACTATTATTCAGTTTATTATTATGACCTTTGTGTTTGTCGTTTGTCTTCATATCTGTCAATTGGACTATTATCTGACCCATAAATTATTTTTTTCCTTACCCTTTTATTAATACGTAACCTCATTTGTTATTTAGTCTCGAATCCATTTATTATGCAATCTTTTCTATCTTCCTATAGACATACATTTTCCATATATCTGTATATACGAATGTACAGCTTAAGTAAATGATTTCATCGAAAATAAAATTTTCTTCGCTGAATTCTCTTTTTCTTATTAAATTGACTCTCACCTTTCTCAGATTTAAATCATGAGTCAGTTGAAGCTAGACCACCATTGAAAACCTGGAAGCACTGGACGGCCGTTTCGTCCTAGTATGGGACTCCTCAGCAGTGCGCATCCACGATCCCGCACCACGCGGGGCTCGAACCCAGGACCTACTGGCTTCGCGCGCGAGCACTTAACCATTAGACCACTGAGCCGGCATCCAACGGTGTTAATGTCTAACTTCAACCAATCCACGAAGTTGCGCCACCATATACCATTGTCTTCAGTGAGCTGATATCTCACAACAGACCTGGTTGAACTCCACTGGTAACGGCTTCCCACTAGAACTCCAGGAGTATCTCTTGAAGTCAGTCACTAGTGAGCAGATGATTATTATCAGAAGGGGTTTGTGGAGATTTTAGAAATTTTCACCTTTCTCTCAGTCCGTACTTTATTGTAGACATAATCCATCAAAATCTAGTGAACAGATTGTTTTAAGTTTAGTAACAGTATTGTAACGGACGAAGGACTTGGGTAGGGTTAGCCACTTTATTGTATTAAGCGAAATCACACATTGTATTTTGAAGATATGAAAACACTACATTAAATACATAATTTGCTCATCTTCCTTGAGTAATCTTTCACAAGCTCCATAGTTCTTCTATTCCTGTTGCTTCTCTTCATTTCCCTATTCTGTCGGTAACGTTCCTACTTCCAATTCCTGATACATACTACTTATATCTGTCTGTATAAGTAGTACACATTTCAGTAGTAATATAAAATCAGTGTAAACCAGTGAATTTACGGTAATTCATACACTAATTTAAAACTGTTAGATAATTTTTTCTTTTATTCTTAGGTTTACATTTTATTCAATGATTTTATACTTACTATTATAAAGTATGAGTAGAGGCAATAAGATAGCCATACAACACTGTTCAATTGTCCAATAATTAAGACTGAATTTTTTCATCTTAATATAAAACCAAATCTAATAACAACAAATAGAGAAAAAAACAATTGCAAAGAAAAGTAAAGTCAACACTTATTTACAATAACTCAATAAAAGTATTAAATTAAATCTCAAAAAACGACTGTCAGTTTAGGAGTAAATTAACTGGAAAATATAAACGGTAAAACTATAATTGTAACTAAGAAAGGCAACAACCAAAATTGAGAGAACTTCTTTCACCTTTCAATGTGAAATTCAAAGATGAATCAATGTTACCATTGTATTACATGAAAAATATATTTACAATTGAAATCATTTCGTATAGTGTTTACAACATTTGAAATTGTTAGAAACAAACTTTTGTTTTCATTAAAGGGTATTCATGACAATGTTCAATATATCAAGTGTTCTTTTTTTTTGAAAAAAAAGAAGACGTAAAACAATTAACTATTGTTTTAATTTACTTTGTTGATGGTAAACTTGTAAGGAAATCATTTTGTTAGTGATTTATTGAATGACCAATGAGTTGGTAGAGTGAGAATATTAAAATAGATAACAATTTTATTAAGTACGACTTCTTCACAAAAATACGGTGACAATGGTGGTTCACCTATAATTTCATCTTTGGAATTATACAGAGAATTTATGGATAGACATTTTATAGGTGATAATGACTGAGGAAGATTCGGAAGTTATTAGTGCAAATATATTACTACTAAGATTAATGATGTTATGTAGCAATATTTTTACAAAATTAATATTGGAAAACTGACAATAACCCTTGTAAAACTAATAACCTTCCTAAAACCATTAAATTCTAACAGGTTTTGTTAGTTCTGTTGAGAAATAATTTTGATTGACACAAAATCTCTGCGAATTGGCTTCAACACCACGTGATCATTTGGGAAATTGCTCAAGCTCGTTCCTATACTTATGTTTTTATTGTGAAATCGAATCTTTCCATAGATAAGAATTGATTTTGTGATGTATTTTTGAAGGTATTTAAATGCTAATATTTTTATTAACCTAAAGATATTACTTTAAAAAAATTCATATTTTTTCACTCCACTTTATTCACAAGTCGGAGACTGTATAAAATAATTTTATTGTTATACATGATTAACCCTTAGGTTTTTTTATTAACTGAATTCATACATATTTATGCAATACAAAACCCAATTAGAGTAAATTATGTACAGTCTCAACGGATTTATCCTCTATACCTCAAACAGGTTACTTGGTAGTCAAACGTTACGCAATAAAATCTTCGAAGATACTTAAGAAGAAATACATGAGTTACGCATGTCTCTAAAATATTTAATGGCCTCATCTTACAGTTGTGGAGCATCATGAAGTGAACTACTATAAAAAGTATTCACTCTTGGATAAATAGTCGGATAAAATACACCTGGTACATAAATGGTATAAGTTTGCCAAGCCAGATGAACCTGGTAAATTCATGTTGACATTTAGTCAACGGCAAGCTAATCGAAGACCATTAAGATTTGTAAATAATCAAAATGACCTAAACATTCGATCGCTTCACTATTTCAAAACTAAATGATGGCGAGGTTGAAAATCCTGAGGTTTGAAAGTGAAATTCATATTGTATTTCATATAGTAATGAAAAACAAATAGAATACAATAACTACATAGGAAGCATTATGTAGACCACACCTACTATATGAAAGTCGATGATAATATCAGATATAAAAACCGAAATAGAGAAATTGTTGTAAAAATTTTTCAAAACAACTGGAACTCGAATATTTATGACAAAAACCCTAACCGTGTACACATTAGTGACTAAAGAGTGATTTAATTTATTTACCGCGTACATGTTTATGTACTTGGTTATGAGCTACACGGTTTGTGTGAGGACTAACGATACTACCCAGTTGCATAAACCGAAGTAGTTGAACCTAGGTTTGAGCTTGCGACCTAATGGTTGAAGTGCTTTAATCAAGTCACACCTTCATAACTATTGAGTAACTTGTACATGTATCCGCGAAGTTCTGGTGAGAATTTATAACTACTGAACTCCAACTAGTTTGAAAGTGAGATAGTTACTTATTATTGGTTTTGGATATTCAAATGAAAACTAATAGATCATAATCGTAGAGAAATTACGATGAGATAGTCTAGAGGCAAAGCACTTGCTGCGATTTTTATCAATATCATGATTCGCCATCATATATATATATATATATATATATATATATATCAACGTAGGAGGTCTGTGTAGATCGCTGAATTTTATGGTGTAAAACACGAACTGACCTTAGTCAGACAAACATTGGAAACTGGGAATCACTGGACAGCTGCCTCTCTCTAGTATCCACAAAATCACGAACTGATTGAACACAGAAATTCAAACCATTTGATCCTGAATCAGTAGTCCGAAGGTTGGGCGCCTGCTGTGAAATCTGAAGGTCCCGGATTCAATCCTTAGTGGGGTTATGAATGAGCACTGCTGAGGAGTTTCATATTAGAACGAAACGGCTGCTCAGTATTTCCTTGTTTAAAAAGATTGCTTAACTAACGCTAATTCGTTATACAACCCATAAAACACATATATGTGTTGGTCAGAAACTTAGTAATAATAATAATAATGACATTAATAATAATCAAGTTCACTTACAGTAACTGCTTCTGAAATAACAAAAAGTATGAACTTCACTACTAATTCCATATAAGTAAATTCAATAGTATAATATTGAAAAATGAAATCCACACTGATTATTTTAAATAATAAATGTTCGCCTTCATAATCTTCGTATTTTAAATGATTATTACTTAATTCATGATAGAATGTTACATGGAATTTATAAATGGTGAAATCAACTGGAATAAGATGAAATAGGAATAGTTCGTCACATTTCTGAAAAAAATAAAAAAAAATAAACAACACAAATACATAAAAGTTACTGAGTTACTAGTGGAATTCTGACGCCCTCTCGAAAAAAAAATGAATGGATCAAACTACTTCTAACTTGATATTGCTCCTGAATATTGATTCGAAATGTTTACGGGAATGACATTTTCCATAAAAACAGTGAAAATTTATTAAAGTTTAGTTGCGGCTAATAGTGGGATATAGGAAACGTATCTCGGTTTATTTGGAGCTCACTAGTTGGATATACCTAAGTCCCAGTCTTGATGTTCACACAACGAGACTCGAATCCGCTGTTTTTCTCCTTAAACGCTAACATGTTATTCACTAAGCCCCAATTTATTATCTTGAAAACTTCATTAATTTGTATTGTGCTCACAAATAGAAATTATTGCTATATACTCAGAGTTCAACTATTATAAATAGATCTACCTAATAAACGACAAACACACTATGCACCATAATGATAATATATTGTTGTCCAATAAAGTTCAGAGCAAAGAAACTTTCAGGACAATACTGAAGAATAAATTGTTTAAATCAATAATCTATACTTCTATGACAGCAGTGTAGCCGCTGTAGACAGTTAGAAAATAATTATTGTTAACCCTTTGATCGGATGAAAGTCAAATAAAATAATGAAAGCAAATTAGTTCTCCGACTATACGTCAAGGTTCACAATACTGACAATTTAATGCTACACAAGTCCACACGACACTGATTCGATACATTTGTTTAAAGTTATATGGGAATAATTAATTTTCTCTGTCTGAAGTCCGCCAAAAAGTCAGTAGAAACACGGGAATGTCAAGTGAATACTGGCCGAAGCAGCCGCTTAGTGGCCAAGGTGTCCAACGTTCAGCCACTAAGTCCGAGGTTCGAACCCCGGCTCTGCCTACTTCTGTTTCAGCAAGCAAGTAGTATCGCTATCCATTGCACTTAAGGTGTAGTTTATGTTTAAGTACCTGGAGAGTGAGTTAATCTAAATTTGTAAATTCTAAATAAATGCTAGATGAAAGTACAACAAAAGTTCACTACAATTTTTCATCAATCTTGAATAGCATTGGAGACATACTTATCCAAGTAAGCATATAACGGACAGATGCTACGAAATGGTTTAAAGGCTAGCTAAGCTGTTTAATTGTCATAGTTGATGTGATTCGCATCAGAATAATTGGAAGTGACCAATAAATGACTAGCTAAACAAATATTTATATATATTATTTTGTTAGGTAACTATCAATAATTCAGTCTGGTGAGCGGCACGTTGTATTACTACATACTACCAATCGATTAACGCATTTTATACATTAATTTAATCATCCTCAAAAATCTTTTCACTATAAATCGTAAAGGGCCAATTTATAAAAAAGACCAAAACAAGTAAAAATAGATAAAGTAGTTGGCAATTACAAAAGCTAGGGAATGTTTTAATGATTGAGTTACTTGACTTTTAACCAGTAAGATCGGGTTTCATCCACATTCCACCAACTTTGATTTAGGAAACTTAATAACGTTATTGTGCTTGACGCTACGAGTGTGGCTAAAAGTCGATCATATGAACCTGCGCTTCGGTAATGAATTACTTTGGTTTCAGTTATTATCCTAAGTATTTAACAAACACAAAAGAATATGAAGAGAGAACATATCTTCATTACTGGGAGAGATTTTAAACCTTGTCACGCAAGGCCTTTAATCATTAGTTCTCAGCACTATGGGGACTTAACACAAGATACTTACATCTTATTATGGGACTCAGACTAATGGTCAACAAATTGAAGAACTAGTAATATGTTGACTTGGGTGCTCTCCCATTATTACATTTTAACCATATAACGAAATCGAAGGGTTTAATTACAATATGAAATAAATTAGACTACTGAAAATTAGGAAACGATAAGTAATGGTTATATTTTGTGCAGTAGGACTTGAAATAAACACTTGTATTTGCAACATTTAAGCTTCAAGATGAAAATCTTTTGATCTAAATTAACTTATTCTTTTCAAATGGACGATATTTTTTGCTATGACCCAGTAGTTTAAAGGCTGACATACCTAAATGTAAAACTTCATAAACTTATGTTCAGTTTCAAAACAGATTATGGACCAGTAATACTGTTTAGTAGCACCTCATCTAGGAATGAACAAGGTAAATTTGGTGTTACTAGCAAAAAGAAAATACTGTTTTCAGAGGTTATCGACCAGATTATCGTGATTTCTGTACAGGAAGCTTAAATAGCATGTTTAATATCAATTCAGTAACAAAAAGACAGTTTTATAAACATATCTTCCAATGATTTCCTATTAATTGTGGTAAGTAACAACAGATTACTAGAAAAAGATTGAAGAGGAAGTATGATCATGTAATTGTTACGAAGTAACGGAGACTTAGATAAACAATCGGATATTTTGGGCATAAAAAATACAATGTTCAACTTACTGTATCGGGACAATTCACTTGAATAGTCCGGTTGTGAATTGGACCCATTTGGACTACAAAATTTTTATAATTCGGATCTGATTTAAACATTCCAATTCTACTCCCAGCAGTAGCTAGATGGGGTATCTGTACTTGAATAGACGTATTGATATTTACTGATACTTTGGCATTTTCTTTATAAATGGAAAGTATTTATTGATGAATTTTTTGAAAAAGAATTACAGTTAGTTCATGGAAATGTGGGGAATAGAAGCATAGTTACATAGATCGTTAACCAAAAAATCACTAATTAATGTCATTATGAGAAAGGCTTTGGATGATTGCGTTGTTGATACTCTTGACTGAATTTTGATGAGTCTGTTGGCATAACTCAAGCCCTTTCTAATAATAATGAAACACATGTCAAACTCGTTATGCAAGTGAGTGGTTATTTGGACTTAGAAACTAAGTGAATAACTCGTTGGGTGTTTGAAATAAAGAGGAGCGGTTTCGAGTCCCTGTTAGAACACCAGTGGTTGGATACATGTTTATACGGTTGACGAGCCTCGAAAACGGCGAAACGTGGTTCCTGCATTACAATACTAGCCACCCCATATAGACTACTGAATAACTTCAATTTTAGACTTTCACTTATTGGAACTACATTACAGCTGCTAGCATTCAAATGTAATGTAACTGGGCAACTAATCAGTTTTATGTGTCCTGGTTTGAAACACAAACCATAGAAGACGAAACGAGGTCTGAACCCGTAGTTCAACGATGGTTGACAGCAAAATAGGACAGCCGCCAAACTACAAATGTAAAGGTACTAAGTTCAAACAACCAGAGCGCAAGTTTAATAAGCTACTGTGTTGCTGAAATCCATGAATCATGTAGAATTGTTTTCTGGGGTAAAATAAAAATTCTTGCATAAATAAGTTGACACTATATATCTCGTTTTGAAAGATTTTTTAAAGATTCGTTTTTCTATTTCATCTAAACATACTTTATCAAATAATTTGGAAATGGGATCAAAATCCATTTGAATAAATAACCAGAGAATAACAAAAACTATAGTTCGTTACAAAACTAAAGTTAATACAGAAAACAATTAACAAATAAAAAAGATTACAAATCACATACGTTCTAAGGGCGCACGATTAATTATAGCAGATAACCACAGCTCACGATGAAAAACTGAAAGAGATGGAGAATCTACCTCGCATACACTAGATTCTAAACTAGTTATACTTGGACGAATCAAAGTGGAAACAGTAACGGAATTTGAAACATTGGGACCTTTAGTGAGTAAATTTTAAAATAATTGTAGCATACCAAATAGACCAAAAATTATAGAACATCCAATAATTAGGGAGAATGTAACTGTGACAACAACGAAATAACGCTTTTTCATTGTATACAAACGCATTGGGACAGATCTGGAAATGAATAAATAGATTATTGAGTAAAAGTTATAATAACACTCAATCTAACGGTAAATATACAGTAGTAATCCATTGTCTATTTACTAAGTAAGCAGTAACTGGAAATAGTTACAATAAAAATCGACTGAACGACGACCTTAGAAAAATAACCTATTTAACTACAAGTCTGTGGCTAGACCAAGAGGCCCACGTGACTATCGTAACCAATTGCTGGAGACTCTTGGTGACATGGCTCAGAATCGATCACAATGACGTAGGTGTATACACTCTGTTTTCCCTTAAACTATGAGATTAAAATCGCTTCATATCATTCTTTCTTTCTGCACCATATCCTGATATGTAATCTTTCTTTTATATATTACCACCATTAAATTAACTACCTCTATGAATCCGGTGTTCATCTCCCTGTGCTAATGTGGTGTGGCAACTTGGACCGATGCATACATGTGCCTGGCCCTACGTTGTAGCTGAATGAATGACAGACCAAGAGGCTTGTATAATATGTAGATATTTGCAGTCACATAAAACCACTACCTAAAAATTCCATGAGTTTATTTTCAGTTTTTTCGAGATATAACTGACATTTAAAGACCAATCTTATTCTAGCCAGTATTATAAATCGGGATACTCCGTTAAAGTAAATGCTAAAAATATCCCATTATAACTGTCAAAATGGCCCACGATAGATGTTCAGGGAATAAGCGACTAGGGAATTCGGAAAGCTATCAAATAAAGTTAAGAAACAGACTAGTGGTGAATTTGCTATGGTATGCACGCTACAAAAGAAATGAATCGTAATGCATAGATACAAGTTAGACTGAAATTCACATGTGCTTCGTTTCACATTCAAACGACCCCATAGCAGTTAACTTTCGTTTGGCATATTTATGTATTTCCAAAGTGTATCAAAGTTTTTGTTTTAGGATAAAATAAATGCAATTAGAGAATGTTACTGTTCTCTCTGCAGCGGAAATCCCCAAAACTCACCTAAAGCTAATGTGATCTAGGTAATCTAAAATTGGATGGCAGGTGCACGTAACTGTCTGAATTAAAGCAGAGGTTTATCTGTTATTTTAGAGACAAACTTTGCTACTCGTGGTAGTAAAAGTGGGAAACTATGTTGGGATTATCGCAAGTATTTATCCCGGTATATTTAAAATAGCACTTCTTTGGAGATATCAAATGTCCCACCCGAGTTGTGATGTACATCACAATGACATAAAGGGGGAAATCCGAACCATTTCCTCCTGACAGCCGAAAAAACAGACATTTAAGTGCGTTTCCCCATTATTTCCCCCTTTATTTTTCAGCGTATTTCACCGTTTATTGGTTGCTTGGAGTAGCTAAACTGATTGTAATCCAGAACAAGTATTATTTATTTCATAGCACAAAATTAAGCTTATTCACGGCAAGTAATATTACTTGCCTATATAGGCACGCCATTTACTCTAAAGGAGAACAGTTTGGAAAATTGTCTAGAAAAAAATCATAATAGTTGCCGACTGAAACAAAAAAGGAGTTGGCAAAAACTTACGTCCCAAGATCTCGTTGCAAAAACATGGTTACGAGTAACTAAGATTCCAATTCGAGTGAAGGTTCCTTATAGTAACGCACACCTCCGAAAATGATACACGCTGTTCACTAAACAATAACCAGAATATTTATCAAAGATATGAATGGATCAATTGACTGTTTATCTCACTTGTTGTTATCTCGGCACGGTTCCAGGTATCTGGTAATATATATAGAGGCTGTTACTATGTACATCTAGCGACCGGACCAATCAATCTATTCATTCTTCTTAAGCCACATTTTTACCCTGTCACTTATTCGCTTATTAATCCTGACTGTTTCTTATGTGACCGTATGTGTGTGCATTTCTCATCACATGTCTGTAACTTTTTTGTTTGATTTTAAACATCGATTTACGCTTAGCCTTATACACTCCTTAATTTTAACGAACGAACTATACGTGGCCTACTCAGCCGACAACATCAGCCTTTTGCTCGTACTCCTCTTTTTCAGATCCCCAACTCCTTTAATGGTTAAAGTTGCATTATTCTTCCTGATTTTCATGTTCTTTTTTATTGCAAGCAGATAGATAACTCATTAATCTCATGGATGCTGATAAAGTATTGCCGATCATAAGTTGCTCATAATGTCCTAAATTATTGTGAGTCGCTCATTGCTTTGTTTTCTTCTGAAAACTTCACAACGTAAACTCTTGCATACTCTTTGATGTTCTATCCATCCTTAACATCTCTTAACCACATATAATCTGACAACTGTCTTATAACTTATACCATTAGTTATCTTCATAGCAGTGTGATATACTTAATGGATGTCTAACCCACAATACAGGAGCCTTAACCATTTAATTTGCTTGTAACGTGGAGCTAGTCGAGACAGTGTATTCCAGAAAAGATTTTAGGTGGAAGCAATATTCATACACACCACAAACGTAAGAGAGCCTAATATTACAATAGGAGAATGGGTGGCGTTACTGACCAGCAAATAAGATAGTGGGGAGATAACATCAATTCACTCATGTCTGTAGGGCTGTACATGTTGTTAAATTACGACTCATTATGATCAAGTGGGGTGTCACGAAGCTATGGTATTGATGATGCTTTATTACGCAAAATACCTCTTTAACTCGTGTTTGTAACGTTGAATTGGTTTCACTTCCTACCGAGTAATGATATCGCAAGCAAAACTAGACAATACGCCAAAAATGAAATCTGCCCATGACCCTGTAAAAGCGAAAAAATAAAAATGAGCTGAAATAGGTAAGATGAAAATGGGAGACAGCCGTTTGTGTATCAGAATATCGTTTTCTGTACTATATTTTAAAACTTCTTTTAATCCCATAATTTCCATGGATGGCGTCAGCGAATCGTATCAAATGAGACGGAATATTCATGACATGAAATTCAGACAGGTCAAGTTTCAACCCACTGTCTACCGCCCGTTCCGTTACTATTGTAGGCTCCCTTTGGAGCATTAATGCATCCCTTCCGCTTTTTATGAATCTCCAAGCCTTTGCGTCGTCTGCGTAAATCAGTGCCGTTGAGCTAATTTTATCTACCAGATCGTTGATAATGATCAAAGTCAGCGTCGATGTTATAGCAATGCTGCAATGCAGAATATATCTCCACTGGTGTTGGTGCCCGGCTCGCCAACACTAGTTTTACTAGAGATCCTCTTCTTCGCTTTGTCACAGCTTCAGTTGGAGTGGTTAAGAGTTAGCCGACAACCTCTTGGTAACGTCAAATAATTACATCCCAAATATCTATTCACTTACTTATTTTGTGCACGCATTGTTTCATATAATCCTATATTGAGTTCAAATCAGAACCCCGCGCTTCAGCTGTTCTGTTCCACGATCTAAATAAAGATATACTACAACAACTAGTCTGGCTTTCTATGCATATAAAACGAGGGATAACTACCAGTTCAGAGGGCTTTTTCATATTTTTGTCAGGAGATAAAAGTTACTCAACATGTCCCCGGCACTTATATTTATTGGGCAAAACAATCACGTACTAGCTGGTCTACTGAGTTTATTGCAAATAGTTGCTGAGAGCTATGCGCATGTTTTCTGAAATCAGCCTTTGCATCGCCACATTACGTACCACAATTGGCGGTTAATCCTCAGCCAGATCCCTTACCGGTGCTTCTATTGACTATGGTTAAATTAAAATCAATGACCGAATTGTGATAAACGTTTATGACCGTGGAAGAAGATACTTCAATCAAACGGATAAGAAATAGCGATATCAACACTTAAAAGATACAAAGTGCTTGCCTCTTATTAGAACTCAGAAGTCAGGTGAATACCAAAAGGCCTAATATCAACGTGATTTCAAAAATCGAGCTAACATCGAGAACAGATGGCATCGAAATTCAGTGTTTCGGCTTTCTAATTTTTGAACAGTAGAATAAACCGTTGGAGGTAGACGTTAACTAGTAATTAAAGAATTCCTTGATTATGCAAGCTGTTCAAAAAGTGATATACTATTTGGGGATTTGTATATCGACGAGATGTCGGATAAGAGACAAAGGTAAAACACCCACTTAGTTGTAGTGTATCATCAAATTGAACTTATGGTAAGTCGTTTCGTTCTAAGTAAGTCTTAGCCTTAGTCAAACATGTAAGTTAGCCTTATAGTAATTAACTAGAACACACGCTCATCATAATAACCTAGAGACAAGATCTTCGCAAACATCGTTTTATTACAAACTTCTGGGAACCGTAATTTCCATAGTGTCAGTCCAAATCATTAAAAATCCAATCAGTTACAACTTATGACGGTTTCTTCCGTCCATGGATCACCCTTTGCTTACTAGTATGAGGTCATGTTAATAAAATACTTGACGCTGACTTTGAGAAATCATCACCTAGTCACCCACCACACGTTTGTTACTACCACAGTTTTCTAAGCAAATGTGTTAGTGTGTAACAGCTCAGGTTGGTTGGTTAAGAGTTGACCCCAAACAACCAAGCTTATGCCAAAACAGTATTGTTCAAGTATTCATTCACTTCCTTATTTTTCATAAGCGTTATATTCCCTATTATCTTATATTGAATGTTGAGAGCCTTTGTTTGTCTGAACAGATAATCCCACGCTCCACTGCGACTGCGCTAAGATCGAAATAAAGACCTATTCACTACTTCTCTGGTTTCTTCTATCAATAGCACGAGGGTTACCTTAAGGCACGAAACTGGTGAGCCCTTTTTGAACACAAATTTAACCTCATTTCTGTTATTAACATTTTTTTTACTTAATCGTAAAAGTAGACCTGATTATCCGTAAACTAATTTGAGTATATAACTAGTTTATTCCGTATTATCTTAAGTTATTCGTGTTATAGTAACCACTTTTTGTGCTAACTTTATTGCTATATTTGTCACATACCTCATGTCAGACTCAATAGAAACCCATAATCTGGAGGATTTGTCACCAGTGGAGATAGACACTGT